ACAGTTAATAAGTGGTTATTAACTATTAATAACTTGGAGTTATTAAGTGTAGGGTTAAAAATTCCCATCACTAGTTGTAACGAGAAATTCTTTTTTTTTTATTTTTTAAATCAAACAAAAATAAAAATGCCATCAAAAGGCCTAAAACGAAAAACAAGAGAAGAAGATGAAGAATTTGAAAGAGGGTAAGTGTTTTAAGAATAAGTATGGTGGTGGTTACCGCCCGCCACTCATCATTACTCTAGTTATTATTAAAATAATAGTAGCTGCAATCATTGTAACTTGATCATTCTATATAGCTTATAATAACAAAAAAATATTTGTTTCAAACATCCTAGCTATTACTACTCCTCACCTTCCCTTCAGGTTTGTCATCGAATGGCTCATTTTATTTTTAGTGAATTCAGTTTTTTGATTATAGAATTTAAAGTTAATATCAATTTCCCCAATGAATAAAGATTCTTAAAGAAAGTGCCATTGGAAAACTTTGTGAAATTTATGGGACGAATGAACAAATAATTAAAGACGCATTGGAAAAAGATGGCAATCTTTTAAATAAATTGGAAATTTCACTTATGAGAATAACTGAAAAATTAGATGGCTATTTTGACGAAGATGGTGATGCCTCAAATGTTTATGATGAGGTTGATAATCTCAGTAACAGTAGTAATAGTAGTAACTATGTTGAACCACAGGACAATGAGTTATATGATAGAAATAATGGTATTTTAGATGATTATGGTGAAAATAATTTCGCAGTGAATCCAATTATATCAAGCAATAATAACTCCAACGATAATGATGAAAATAATTTCGCAGTAAATAATCCAATTATATCAAGCAATAATAACTCTAACAATAATGATGAAAATAATAATAATAATAATAATGTTGGTGGTTTGGAAGAAAGCATTTAACAAACTTTTCTGTTTATTGATATATTAATATGTTAATTTATTGTCAACTTATGCATTTATGTTTTTAAAAATCTTACAGATGAGTTATAACCTTAGAAGGCTACAACAAATAAATTACAACATTGGAAGGCCATTATGAAAAAACATTGTCAAAAAAACAGTGTAATAGTAATTATAAACTGAAACATTAATAGTAGACAATAACATTTTATTTAATTTTTTTTTTTTACTTATATTTATAGAGATCATCACCATCAACAACATCATCATCGTTATCCGAAAATGATAAATGATCGTGTTTATTTTACATCGGTGTGTCATGCAAATTCCCATTGCTATCTATTTTGTAACCAAAGAATTTATCTATTTTTGTTCAAAACGTCAGGATTGAGCAAGGCAGATACTTGACCGAAAGGAAGTCGTGTTTCGCTTTTGATGTTTTTTGCGCGGTGTCTATCGTTGTCGATTATTAGGTTTTCGTCTTACTTTAACGTTTCGGACGTTTAAAATGACCAAAAACTTATGATGTTGCCTTGGAGCCTTTACTTCAGGTTCCAGATCGTCAAAGACTTGTCGCACAATGCGTTTGTGTAGCATATTTCGGATCACGAGACCGGGATTCAAAAACACTTTTACATTTTATTTTGTTATTATTATTATCGGTCAATTCAATTCAATGATCGATAAACAAACAATATGCACAAATTTTTTTTGAGTTTGACCGTTTAAGAGATAGTGGATGATCTGGATAGGAAAAAGTTTATTTTTTAATTTCCTTATAAGAAAAAAAAAGTTGTTTTTTTTAATCTTTGATTCATACGAGGATTCTTCTTACAAAGGATCTTTTATTAAATTTATTAAATTCATAAAAAATTTCCTTTGTATATGTAATCTTTTAAAATAAATAAATAAATTTTTGCTCAAAACAACGAATAAATGATATAACAATGACTGGCTAATGTTGATGCTCCGAACGAATATATAGATAGCTTGGATTTGAATATAACGTGCAAAGCCAAATCATACATAGAACGCCACTTT